TTTTACTTTCTTGTAACACCTCTAACCTTCGGCACTTATATGAGCTTATTGTGTTGCAAGTGCCGTAAAACTCTTACTAAAACTAAAACTAAAAGAAGAGACTTTATTCTCGCAGCACAAAAAAACTGCTTCGTTTCTGCTAAAAGGAAACCGGATAGAATAGTTGGAAAAGTTGTTGGGTTTTTTTAGTTGTCGACAAAGCTAAATTCTGACATCCTGTTCTGGCATCAAAAATATTTTTGTGAATTCAGCAAAATGTACAGGTCTGTCTAAACGTCTCCGGGTTCAAGGGGTGCTCCATAGACTTGAATCATGATATTTCCCTAGACTGGGGCACTGTCATGGCTGCCGCTCTATAAATAACGATTTCACTGTGCTAGTGCTCACATACATAGACCTAGACCATAGACCTAGACCTTTTATTGTTTAATGAGGACTTGCAAATGAAGAGTAAAACACTTACAAAACACAAAAAGCAAGACTTTTTTTTTTTTAATGAGGACTCGCAAATGAAGAGTAAAACACTTACAAAACACAAAAAAAAACAAGATCTATATTTTTTTTTAATGAGGGCTCGCAAATTAAGAGTAAAACACCAGTCTCTGCATAGTCTAGCGGACGTACAATAACCTTTCCCTCCATGCGCTATATTTAGATTCCACTAGAGCCAAATAGTGAGTTCCGTCGTAAACCGGAAGTACGTCAGAGAGAACGGTCTCAGCTAATAATATTATGATTATAATTTTTTTAAAAGTCTGTGGCTTTTGTCAAAACAAGTGTGCGTATCAGTGCAGTGAGATCATGGGGGGGGGGGGGGGGGTAGGGAATGAATTAGGTGTGCATTATCTTATTCTGATAAACGCAGCTTGAGGAAAACAATAACATAATATTTACGCGCAAATTTCTGCTTGCGTATGCTCTTAGGCTGAGTTGTACAATTCATGTAAAAACCCTGTTTGTTGTTGTTGTTGTTGTTGTTGTTGTTGTTGTTGTTGTTGTTGTTGTTCTTCTTCTTCTTCTTCTTCTTCTTCTTCTTCTTCTTCTTCTTCTTCTTCTTCTTGGTTAATAGAGGG